CTCTGAGATATGGGAGGACCGGCTCCCGGCCCCCCACCGCCCCAGATATGGGGAACACCAGCTCCTGCCCCCCAACTGCCCCAGGGGGGTCCCTGAGACATGGGGAACACCAGCTCCTGCCCCCCAACTGCCCCAGGGGGGTCCCTGAGACATGGGGAACACCAGCTCCTGCCCCCCAACTGCCCCAGGGGGGTCCCTGAGATATGGGGAGCACCAGCTCCTGCCCCCCAACTGCCCCAGGAGGGTCCCTGAGATGTGGGGAACACCAGCTCCTGCCCCCCAACTGCCCCAGGGGGGTCCCTGAGATATGGGGAGCACCAGCTCCTGCCCCCCAACTGCCCCACGGGGGTGCCCACGGTATCGGGGCGGCTCTTACCTCCAGCTCTCTGGGGCTGCACTCACCCTTGCGGGACTGACAGGGTGATTCGGGACTGAAATCTCGTCTTTTCTTCCCCTAGATTGCAGTGCAGACGGGCTCGCAGCCCCACTGAGACAAACTGGATTTCAACCGGTGATCTGTCAGGTGAGGTGCTGTGTCCCCCTGCTCCGTCCTCGGGCTATTCACAACCTCAGGAGGCCACCAAACTGCCTGAGCTGCCACAGAAAAGGTTTTGTGTCTAATGGGATATTTGCCAGCAAATCCAAGCCACAAACACTATATATTTCTTTATTTGTAAAGGTGTTTGAAGTACTTGAATTTACCCTTTGGCCACTTTAAATCTAGTTTCTAATCCCCAGTGCAGTTAATCAAATCCACAGTGGTTTGAATTATGAGATGTCTGGAGGGGATTTATAGCTTGTATTGCTGATTATACCTTGACTTTATTATATTGCAAATATCTAACTTATGGTCACGGCTGAGATTTACAATCCTCAGGTAGGTGCTTAGCATAACTTTTAGCAATTCCAGATGTAATTGAAGGTGACTGATGGGGCTGTCACCATAGATAAACACGTAATCTGTAAAATGTTAAGACAGGGAAAGAAAAGGCAGAATAGGTGAAAAGGGTGGGTCAGCCGTAAAAAAAATAATAATATAATTAGCTGTATTGCTGAGCAAGGCTCTGGGGTGCCTGGGCTAGCTGAGGCATCCCTGCCCAGGAAGCAGTTTTGGGCTTGTTGGTCTCCAGAAAACACCAGGATTTTGAACTTTCTTCCTTCTTGCGCTCAGCTGAAGGTTTTTAGGGTTTGAAATAGCCCTGGGGAGGGGGCAGGGTGATAAATAGAAGTAGGGATACTCACAGAACTGATACCTGCCTCTCTGGTTTGGGGGAGCTTGGCACCTGTGGCTGCTTCGGATCTAATGGGCGGTTTTTCCCCTGTCTCGGAGGAACAGCAAGTCCCACGCGGGCACATACCCCTCGGCCAGCATGACGAGCGAGGTGGTGGAGAACGAGTTCGAGTTTTACTCCAAAGCGAAGAAGTACTGGAAGGACGTGCCTGCCACGGTGGATGGCATGCTGGGGGGCTACGGCCACATCTCCAGCATCGACATCAACAGCTCCAGGAAGTTCCTGCAGAGGTTTCTGCGGGTAGGTGGCCTGGTGCGTCACGCTCCCAAAGCCCCATCCTTCTCCCAGCATGGAGCTGGGCTCTTCCTTCTGAGTTGCTCCATGGGATCTTCCATTGCATGCGTGATGGGAGGGCCTTGCCCTGCAGCGGGTCCCCCATTCCTGCGTGGTTGCCCCATTTCTCCAGGGGTACCTCGCGGTGGGATTCAGACCCTCGTGGCTTTTGTTCCAGGATGGTCCCAACCGGACAGGGACGACCCGCGCTCTGGACTGCGGGGCGGGCATCGGCCGCATCACCAAGCGCCTGCTGCTGCCGCTCTTCAAGTCGGTGGACATGGTGGACGTGACAGAGGACTTCCTCACCAAGGCCAAGAGCTACCTGGGAGAGGAGGGCAGGCGGGTGCGCAACTACTTCTGCTGCGGCCTCCAGGACTTCAGCCCCGAGCCAAACTCCTACGATGTCATCTGGATCCAGTGGGTCATCGGTGAGGGTTGCTTTGCTTGTGGGGTCTGTCCAGCTTCCCCTGAGGGGCAGGTGCACTGGGGAGAGCTTTGGGCAGAGCAGCTCAAGGTCTGCAGGAAGAATGAGCATCACAGCATGGGATGGGACTGGGTTAGGGATGAGATTGGGGACCTGTCCCCATCCCTGCCCCATGGGTCTTTTTCCCCCAAGCCCTCAGAAGCCAGGGCAGAGGTGTGGATGGAGTTGGATAGAGCCTGTGGGACACAAGTTGGACACCCCCAAGCTAAAGTTTTCACCTGCAAATGGCTGAAGTGTTTGGCTCCCTGGATCAGGAGGGATCCCAACCGCGGCCTCCTGCCCTCCTCCCGCCCTGGTCACCCTGTGCCCTCTAACCCCTGCTCTGCCCCTCCAGGACATCTCACCGACAACCACCTCTCCGACTTCCTGAAGCGGTGCCGTGCTGGCCTGCGGCCCAACGGGATCGTGGTCATCAAGGACAACATGGCTCAGGAGGGCGTGATCATGGACGATGTGGACAGCAGCGTCTGCCGCGACCTAGACGTGGTCCGTAAGATCATCCGCCGAGCTGGGCTGCACCTCCTGGCCGAGGAGCGCCAGGAGAACTTCCCCGATGAGATCTACCACGTCTACACCTTCGCCATGAGATGAGGGTGGCCAGCGGTGGGAGAAGGTCGCTCCGGGGCAAGCCCGGACCACAGGCCAGCACAGTGGTTCCTGCCAGGGCCGGGAGGGGTGAGGACCGTGCTGTCACCGCGGGGTGGCAGACGGCAGCGAGGGTGTTGTGACTCCCTCTCTTTGGGGCTGGTGACGAGGACAGGGCTTTGTCTTCCAAGTTGCTGCTGTTTGTGAAAAGAAGTGTTTGCCAAATACATTTTCCTGCTGTTGCACTTCTGCACGTGGGCTTTGTCGGACACAGTGTTGGCTTGATATCACCTCTGGGGGCTCTGTGCCGGAGCAAGAGGGTCTCCCCTGCAAGAGGTGTGCTCCGTGGGCACCAGCAGGTTGCTGACTGCAGTTGCACAAGGCTCCTGCTAGTGAGCAGGAGCTCGGAACACCTCTGTGACAGTCTGGTCACCCAACAAGCTGGGTAAGGCCAACAGGAGAAATCTGCCATTTCCCTGTGGTGGGCTGGGAAGGCAACACCAGGTCCTGGGGCTTTGTGGGGGCCTCTCCTTTAAACCCATGAGCGGGTGGGTCTCCCACACATGCAGCAGAAGAGGAGGTGGATGTAATCCTGGGTCCCCCACAGCCTCCTCCAGGGATAGGGGTAACTGGGAGAGAGCTGGTGTGCTCTGGGCGTTAATGGGGAACCTGCTCTGAGCTGCCTCTGGACCCCCCAGCCCGTTACCACAGGCTTGGGGCGATGCCCAGCACCTCCCACTCGAACGCTGCGACACTACAGCTGCTCCCCTGAAACCCCCCCACCATCACCCGGCTCTGAACACTCCGGTCTCCTCCTGCCCAAGCCTGGCCATGTGCTTGCGCCAACCTAACGCAGGGCAGCCAGCGCTGGCACACCAGCTGGCCAGGTGGGCAAGAAGACCCCAGTTGCAGCTCGTCACTCCAGCTGGGGTCACACACAATCCCCCCGTCCCCACAGAGCCCTCTCCTCTGACTCATCTCTCCTGCAGAAGAAACAAGCCCCTTGTCATTACTACAAAAGGCCTTGTTTAATTGCTTATTGCCCATTCCAGACACCAGGGGAGTATTTAATCACATTATTATTATTTTTTTTAAACATCAATTCATCAAGATGCACAGCTCCAGTTCCACAGGGTGGAACAAGGTAAAACACAGATGCTGCCAGGAGGCAGACAACACTTCCCCAGCCAAACCGCCCGTGGATACCAGATCCACCTGCTGTAAATTGTACCTCCTCAAAACAGCTTTTCCTTCTTCATCCTCTTCTTGTCCCCCCAGGACAAACAAAACACAAATAATAAATGTGGGGTGTTCCACCAGTCTTTGGCACGTCAGGAGGAAGCAGATGCCTGGAGGGGGAGCCAGACAGCTGTGACAAGGCTGGGACATGGTACTGCCACATGGAGCCCCAGTCTGCAGGTTCTGGTAGCAGGTTGGAAAGAAAACCCCCAAGTCCCGCTGCAATTTCTTGACCTGGGCAGGAGGCACTGGAGACCAAGGTCCTGGGA